GTTGAACTTCAAAATAACAAGTGCAGCGCCAGGGTTCGAACTCGCGACCTCTTTTGGGTGACTGAACCACAACAAACACTACGACACATTGCCGCTTGAGATTACCTACTTCCTTTTTTTCCTTTTATTTTTTCTTATTCCCAAACCAGCTTTACCCTTTTCGCCAGCTTCCTGACGGTTTTGTTTGGTTTTTCTTTTTCTCCTATTTCTTTCCCTTTTATGTTTTCTTAAATGTGCATGTTTCTGATCTTTTTTTTTCAAAATCGATGAACTTTATAGAATGGCTGAACTTTTTCCAAAATCCATGATTTTTTTTCAAAAATCAATGGACTTATCCTAAAATTCATGATTTGTTTTTCACAATCGATGACCTATTAAAAGTTTGTGAACTTTTTTAAATATCAATGAACTTTTTTTATAAAATTGATAAACTTTTTTTCAAATTTGTGATTTTTTTTCCAAAATCGATGAACATTTTATATATTTTTGATCTTTTCTTGATATTGATCAAATTTTGTTCAAAATTGATGAACTTCTAAAAAAAGAATTTTGCAAAAATTTATGATTTCTTTTTCAAAATCGATGAAATTTTAAAGTTTCCACAAACTTTTTCCAATTTCTATGAACCTCTTTCAAAGTTGGGGTTGTTTTCAATATTTTTTAGAATTATTTTTCAAATGTATACTTCGTCTAAAATAATACTCCCTCTGTCCCATAATGTAAAATGGTTTTTGATATTACACTAGTGTAAAAAAACATCTTACATTATGGGAGAGAGGTAGTAATTTATATTGGGTATATATATAATATATGTTAACTGAAGGAAGGGTGAAATGAAACTATTTGCTACTTGTGTTTATTGAAATGAACTCGACCTAGTGGTTATTCGGGATTGCTGTCAACGCTCGCATGCGTACTTTGAATCCCTCTACTTCCAGAATGGCGACAGGAATAAAATCTCATTAACTTTTTTTCTCTCTGTCTGAGAGCAGGTTGCAGGGATTATTGGGCCGGCCCAGGAGCGCGTCGCGTG